CGCCAAAGACTTAGTCGTGCATAAAACTGAGCAAGTGCATGAGTGTTTGTAAGACTGGGATTTAAACACAAGGGATAGAAAACAAATTTACTGTATCATCAACAATTATTTCTGAAACCCATCAGAAGCCAAAGTGCTGCCAGAAGTCTGTTTAGTGTGGAAACATTCAAAGAGAGAGAGAAGTGGGATTTTGAAGGTTGCTGCCTTTAGCTCAATCCATTAGGCCCAATAATGGTGGGCCAAACACAGGAGGAAAACATCCCTGCCCAGATTAAAATATAACTGATTATGGGTATTGGAGACATCGTATCTCCCATCACATTTTACAAGATAAGCTGGATTGCCTCGCACAAATTCAGATTTCAAACTTAGTTGTTGTAAAGAAGAACTAGTTATAATCAACTTGGATTTGACTAAATTATTCAGCAGTGTCTCACAAAAGTCTTACAAAATTAGTTTAAGCAGCATTAGGTTTATGTGGATTCAAAGCTGAATGCAGCATTTATATAAATAGTTACAATAAATATAAAGGCTTACATTGGAGGGGGGTGCCTATTGCGCTGCATTGAAGACTGATGGCTAGTCTTAGAGCTAGTTTTAATTAGAATATCCAGCAATGCTTCAGAGAACAGAAAAGCTCCCTTGTCTTATGAAACCTCATGAAAATATGCTATTTCCTTGGGAATCCAAATGAGTAAATACAATGAAATTTGAGTACTTACCAGCAAGACAAGAAAAACCAGACAGCTGTAAAACTACTTCAATAGAAGAAAAACTTCTGCCAAATTTAAAGGGATAGCTCTGGAAAACGAATCCTGGGAAAAGTGTGACCCTATATTGTGAAGATGTAATATACATGAAAATATATAAAATATATATAAAAATAAATATATCAATATATATAAAAATAAGGTCTGTTACCATAAATAGAATCAGTCAAAAGTCATGTTTGTGTTTCATGATAATTTCCGTATGCTTTTTAAGTTTGCTTTTTGTTCCACGTTGAAAAAAACAGTAAATTCTTAGCAGTCAGGTTTACTGCTACTTTTTGATGTGGGTTTTTTTTTTTGTACTTTCTGTTCTTTTACCCAGTAGAATTGCTGCTGTCAATTTTGCTGTGTAACAGTAAAGTTGACGGAATTATGGTACTTTTTGTTTGTCACGTCTTGCAGCTTGTTTTGAAGGAGCAGTGCCAGGACCTCTGAGTACTGTGCATGGCCATGTATCTGACTCCTGAACAAAGTCTGGATAGTGCAAGGGCTCTTGGTTTTCCGTAGGGTTTGTTCAAGAGATTGTCATGGAGATACAGTCTGAAAAAGGCAGTACGGTCTTTCACGTGGCTGCAGTCTATATGGACAGGCTTCCCACAGCAATAGCCATGAGAGCTGAGCTGGGAGGGAGCCAAGCAACTTATGAAAATGCTTTACGTTTTGGTTGTGGTTAAATGAAATACTGGTGCATTGATGATCAGCTGTTTTCAAGTCTGTATCCGTCTTAAAGGCTTAATTTGATATAGAAATAGCTTTGGAGGATGACTTTGGTGAGGTAGCATCTTCACTTCTGTAATCTCACAGCACAGTAATGCTGTGTGTCCTGAATGTATGAGAAAAAAGTGAAAAGAGTAACTGGCTGTAGCAGGTTGTTGGCTGGGAGCCCTTCTCCCACTAGCTCTTTCACAAAGGAAAGAAAGTTTTAACCTTTTTCATGAGTTAAGGTTTGGCTTTTTTAGCTCAACTATGAAGGTTTCAAAGAAGGAGGTAGGACTTCTGTGACTGGCATCTGGCAAGAGTGTGTTTCTGAACTGGGCTTTAAAGGACTGTCATGACAAAGATATAAAAGTAGTGTTATTGGTGAGAAAAGAAATGCTGAAAGTGTAGAACGAGAGCAATCAGCCCTGCAAATATTTGTTCATTCTGCCGAATTTCTGTGCGATATTGCTTTACATAGATGGTCAATAAGGTGCACGAGTGTGCAAATTCCTGGCTTCAGGGCACCACCATGTCCTAAGTTGAAGGACTGTGACAACAGGAGAGTGGAGGAAAGTCTGACAGGAATTTGAGCAGTATTTATGGTGTTTTCAATGCCTACCTGCTTCATTCCGGTAGATAAAGAGCACAGATGATCTATTCCTCAGCACAGCTCTGGCAGACTGAACCTCCCAAAGGCTGTGATGATAATTAACTCCTAAATGTTGTGGTTTCTTTGAAATACACTTCCAATTCTTTGAGGAAATAATTATTTCAGAATAAATGAGTCTTTCTTAATCCAGAACTTATTTATTATATTCCGAAGCACACCTTGAAATGCAACACTGAACACAAATTTCTCTTTGATTGGTTTAATGGAAACAATTTCTCTCTTCAGCAAGCACTTGCTTTCAGAGTGAAACCTTAACATTTTACTTTTATCTGTATTGTGAATCTTTTTTTTTTTTTTTTCCTGCTGGCCTCACTTGGAGATGTCACGTACCTCTCAAAAGCATGTAATCTGAAAAGATGCCGAACAAAGTTTTTATTTTTCAAATCAGTCAACTAGTTACTAGTTGATCTGATAAATGTGTCACACAAATTTATTTTTGGAAAAACAGTTTGTTCAGTTGATGCATGGCACTGGAGTGCAAGTTTCCTTAACAAAGTCATACCTAATGTCCAACTGTTATTTTTCTGATTTAATATTCCGTATAATAGACTCATAGAATAATTCAGGCTGGAGGGCACCTCAGAGGGTCATCTCATCCGCCTCCTGCTCAAAGCAGGGTCAGGTATGAGATCGGGTTGCTGGGAGCTTTATCCAGTCTTAAAAATCTCCAAAGATTTTAACACAACCACACAACCTCTCTGGGCAACCGTTTCTAATGCTTGACTAGCCTCACAGTGAAAAGGTTTTTCCTCATATCTTGCTGAAACCTCTCTTTTTTCAGTTTATGTCCATTGTCTCTCCTTCTCTCTCTCTGCTGGGATGGGGCTTGTGCTACTAAGGGCTATGACAAATAAACTCTTTTATTTCTTGTCCGTATTTCTACATGCATTAGGGAGGACAATTATAATATCCTTCAGGCTCTAAGGCAATGTGCTATATGAAAAGATGAAAACTCATCCTTGCATGTAAGGAAAACAGAGTTTCAATGAAGATCTGACCCAGAGACTGGAGAGCGCAGTTTTCCTATAAAAGATGTTCTTTCATTAAAAAGACTATTGTAACCTAAACACTTTATGATATATTTTCTTTCCAAGGAACTTTTTCAATCTCACTGAACATGCTGAAGTCATTATACATTTACTAGAGATGCTTCTTTGTCCTGACAGACTTACTATAGGTTGCATTTCTGCTGGAGATTAAAAATGATGTATTAGTAGATATTTTTCTAAAAATACTCTTTTAAGTAATATTTATCTGCATCTTCGCAAACCTGGAAGAACATACACAACAGCAAAGAAAATACAGAAAATAATTCAGGGCAAATAATATACAACCATGAGAACTTTTACCACTATGTTTATTTAAATGAAGGGAAACATGCCAAAATGCGAAAGCTAAACACTTCAGTATATTCACATATTTTACATTCAAAGGACTAACAGAAATAATCTTTTTTTTTTTTCAGAAAATAAGATTTCTCTTGTGGTTTCCAAAGTTTTCACAGAGACATGGAATATACTTAATGAAGCATGTCACTGCAGTGCATACAATGAAAGCCTTGTGTATATGGAAAAAAGATAAAAAACAAGCAAATTTTACCATTACCAAATAAAGTTTTACTTTAATATAAATAAAATTCAGAGTAGGGCTTTATTTTAACTGACAACAAAACAGAGGGATTTATTAACAACTACATATTTACAGTGCCTTGCTGGTGAAAATACTGAGCTTCATCTGAGATCCTAGACACTTCCTGAGAAGGCAACATGGACTGAGGATTGCTCAGCACTTCAGATACACTAGGTGCTAAAAGGATGAAATTAAAGCATATTTTTCAAATAAGTAAGATGGCAAGGGTGGAACTGCCAATGCATTATACCCTGATCCAGCAAAACTATGCACCTCAAGTACTCCTTTTGATTTCAGTAGATCTATGTATGCTCCTAGAAAACATAGGATAAGTGTTTCAAAACCAGGAGCCTCAGAGGAAGACTCAAAGATGGTATGAGTAGAGAAAACTGCTATAGTTACAATTTTATGTGGTATGGAGGCTAATTAGCTTGAATTTAAATCCATATTCCTCTGTATGGGTGATTTCTACCATTTTTCTTTTGATTCTACAAGCTCTGGATTCCAAATATCTCTATCAAGTGACAAACTTCTGAAAGTGTCTTCTCCATACAGCCTCCAAAATCATAGTGCCAGCTAAGCAGATCTCAGTCTTTTTGGCAATTAAATAAAACAAGAACCAGATCTTTTTCAAAGTATTCACAAAATAGTCTTTCACTTATAAAATGGCTGTCCCACCATTCTTGTATCAGATCTGACCTGAGCTCTTTAGATCTAAACAGTTGTTTAAAAGTTATAAAAATAAAGAATTGATTAATATACAAATATATATTTCAGAGTGATAAGAGAATAATATTAAACAAATTCCTTTTTTAATCTACTTTAAATTAAAAGAAATGTTTTCAAAAGTCTGGGCTGAATCAGATCTTTATCTATTGAGTTTTTAATGGAACCCATTCCCTGCAGATGGCCACATACAACTTTATGTAAGATGCTCATTACTACAAAAGGACAGTGAACATGTTTCCACTAGCAAAGCAATTCATAAAATCTGCTGTGCCAGTTGGTTTTTGGTATCTTGCTTTCAGGAACTGCAGATATTTCTAACATTAGAAACAAAATCTAAGCAATGAAAAGTCTTGAGCTTCTTTAGAAATTTGCTTCTTTCCCTGGTCTTCGTTAATATTTGTTTTGCAATAATCTGTTTGTATACAGCATAATATAAATGCTCTGCATGAACGCAAATGTATGTACAAAACCAGTCAGTAATTCAGTTAAGAGATACGCCCGCTCACTGGGTCATTTCAAACTTTCAAAATACCATATATTTCTGTAATATCCATAGAAACATCATCTGGGTTGCTCCCTTCTTCCACTGAGTTGCTCAGGCATGTTCTCCTTCTGTTTATCTCAAGCAGCCAAAACAGCAAGGAACATTTTTGAGCAATCTGTAATACTCTTCCTGAATCTGGAATAAAAATATTGCATTAAAATATGCAATAGAATAAAATATGAAATAGATTTATTAATAGGTCTATATGTCTTTTAACTCATTTTGCACTGCTCCCATCATTAGATGTTTTAAGGTGGGGCTGCTTTTGACTTTAGGACAGGACACTGAAGACAGCGTCATCTCAGGATAGTGTGGGCAGCGTGAATCCTGCTGCTAACTGGGAAGACTGAAAATGGATTTTATTGCACGCATTGCATTATCCATTGGGTTAATAGCACTATAACCAGTTTTACAATTTCAAAAAAAAATTTTTTTCCATGTTTCATACATTGGTTTTAAAACCAATGGAGCGAGGAAATATGTGAGAAGGTGAAAATCGGGCAGAGGTTCTGTCTCCAGTGAAGGCAATAGCAGAGTTTCCCCTCATCCCTCCTCCCATCAATGGCACAAGGATTCTCTCCCTTGTTCTGATAAAACCTTTGCACTGTGACTCCACTGCAGGGCTGGGTGTAGCTACACAGCCAGTGTAGCTACACAAGGCTGTCTGTGTCGCATCCCGCAAGGAATGGGACACTTACCTTCCTAGACAACACACAAAGAAATATGAAGATGAACATCCCCTGGAATGCATTGAAGATTGTAAAAAGATACGCGGTAACCACGGATCCCTGTACAACGTGGAGGACCCCGAAGATCCAGGTAGCCCCAAGGAGGAACAGGAGAGCAAGAGCACCTCGGGCACAGGATCTAGACAGGAAAGAAACATTGCAAACAATGTGTGGGCACGTGCTATTTTCCTTCCTTCACTGCTTCCTTCACTGGTCAATGCTGCCTAGGTAATTTTTCCTCAGCTGCAAGGGGCTGAGAAGTGTAAATGCGAGGGCTGCTCTTCAGGGTGTGCCGCGACACTGTGGCACGAGTAGGCTCACGTAATTACTGCAGAAGAATAAAGGAGTAAAACTGGAGGGTCTTAAAACATTGGCTTCTTTAATCGTCATATATGTTTTCTCTAGTGTACTGCAGCACCATATGATTTGATTTAAATCTATTTTTAGTGTAATTCCCCAAGGAAAAACATATGTCTGTTATGAAGCATTCCCCCACTTTTCCTCCTCCCCCTTATCCTCCTCAAAAAAATAACCCAGAAAAATGTACAGTATGCTCCTAGGTCAGTACACATGCATGACATCAAAGGGTTCTCAGGCTGCCTCTCAGGTTCACTGCAGAAGATGGTGCCAGTTGTAAAACTAGACTTTCTTTCTTTCAATCTTTCTCTTAAAAAAAAAAAAAAAATAGTTATAGGCTCAAATAGTTCCTGGGTCAGCATATTGATGCTTTAAAATTATAGGAACTGACTGGCTATGATTTTTTTTTTTTTCAACATGCTGTAGAGCCCTGCTCACAGACTCAAGCAAATTACAGCGTGTTGTCTTGGAAATGAAGCCACTGATTACTTTCTTATTCATTCTCAGCCCAGTCATTGCTGGACTTCCTTTGAACAACAGACGTTTTGAGCACTGTTCCTCTGAAAATGAATAATTTTCAACTTCATTAAAACCAGCTTACCACGTGAAGCTATGAAGGGTGAGGAATAAGAGAAAGTAATCAATCAAACAATTGCTAAATCCTAACTATAAATCTCGTGCAATGCATTGAAACTGCAGGAGTGTTCCTAAGCAACACAAACAGTAAGTTGTTTTCAATGTTCCCTGTAGTACACTTCAGCTTTTCCTGCACAAATGGTTTTCAAGGTCCCTATAAATCAGTTTTAAAGAGAGTGCGTTGATGGAAAAATCATAGCAGCATGCAAAGTAAAAATCCTGGAGAGAACCCTCTCCACCCCTCCCACGCCAGAGAAACACAATGTCCTACTGTAGACTTTTTACAAATAACATGAATGGCTTGATTCTCTTATCACTGAATTACTTGTTACTTCGAGGCAAATATTTTGGTCTTAATTCAGGCATAAGTTTTGAAATCTGGTTTGGCTTGCATAGGGGCTATGCAAAACACTTCAGGAAAAAAGACAGTTACTTCTTTAACCTTGCCATCAGGCTTTGCCCTCTGGTTAATACGAATCACTCATTGTATTCCTCCTACACTTCTCACACAACTCCAATGTTACTGTACAAGGTATTGCTCAATGGGAATAAAGATCACAAAATCTACCTTCAAATCTATGGGAGTGAATAACAAAAAAAAAAAAAATTTCTTTTTCTACAAATCTTCCAAAGGATTAAACTGTCATTTTTTGAATACTCACTTTCTTCTCTGGCTGTATTAAATGTACAGAAGGTAGAATTTGTATTAAATGGCAAACTTACCTTATATTTTCATAACAGCTAACTTCTGGCTTTAACATTGCAGTGTGTCGAAATACTTTATAAATAATCACTCCGAAAGCCAACAAATTAACCTGGGGGAGTGAAGAAAGAAACTTTTAGTTCAATCCAGGATGCTTTTGAATTTCATTAACTGTTACACATTCAAATGAAACAAGTCAGATAAAGTTTCTGTGTATATGAAACCTACAGAATTCAGTGCCGGGAGGGGAAAAAAAAATGCCCTTTTCTGACCTGCTTCTATTAAAAAAATGTGAGGCCTGTTAGAAACATTGATCAAACAGGGCTGTAACTTTACCTTATCTCAACACTATCACTACCAACAGTCTGCAAATGTTTATTGATTTTATTGGTAATCGCTTCGATTTCCTGTGTGTATATGAAACCTACAGAATTCAGTGCCGGGAGGGGAAAAAAAAATGCCCTTTTCTGACCTGCTTCTATTAAAAAAATGTGAGGCCTGTTAGAAACATTGATCAAACAGGGCTGTAACTTTACCTTATCTCAACACTATCACTACCAACAGTCTGCAAATGTTTATTGATTTTATTGGTAATCGCTTCGATTTCCTGCTAAGGGAAGGGAAGGGAAGGGAAGGGAAGGGAAGGGAAGGGAAGGGAAGGGAAGGGAAGGGAAGGGAAGGGAAGGGAAGGGAAGGGAAGGGAAGGGAAGGGAAGGGAAGGGAAGGGAAGGGAAGGGAAGGGAAGGGAAGGGAAGGGAAGGGAAAAACCAAAAAAGCCCCTCCCCCCCATGGATTTTCTATTGTACTGTATCACGTAGATCTTGACAAAATGTATGTCTTTTTTTTCTGAATAACATTAATAACATCATGTTCGAAGGTCTTTGCGTTGTGAAAACTTTCAAATGTCGGAAAAAACTTTGAGATTTGCACAAATGATTTTTAAAAAACTAACTTTAGATGAAAGGCTCCGTGCTGCATATTCTTTCTTATATTTTATGTTTGTTTCATAGGTGAATAATTTCAGTATGCTTTTTTTTCCCTGCCTTTTTTATAGTAGCATCACTTTATTTGAGCTTGAAACAGAAAAAAGCAACTAAAAGAAGCAGTTTTGCAAATGATGCTCAATTACGGTTCTGAACCTCTGTTTGCTCGGCTAGGCTTCACTGATCTTTCATTTAAATTTATACGGCA